AGCTTTTGATCTTATTGCTCTCCACGATTTAATGAGGCGATACGCTAAGTTATGGAGCTTAGCAAAGTTCAACGTGATGTTAGAAGGAGAGAAAAGATAAATGAGACATAGACATGTGAGTGTGGCTCTTCTACCTGCTAATGTGTTCAGATTGACAAACCCTTTCAGACTTTCTACACTTGGAATCATGAACCTTTTGAAAGGGTTTAGGGGCAGCAACCCTAAGGAAGGAGCACGGTTTTCTCTGGAAGTACTCTACACCTGTTTGTTGGGTATACTGGATTATCAATTAGGTTTTTCCTACACTTGTCTTATTGAACAAATACCTTCAAATGTGACAACTTCATGAGACATCTGAGCAACCTCAGCTGACGTAATGTTTTCCTGAATAATCCCACCGTAATTTGGATGTGGCATATTGTTCTATTTGATCATGCCCCAAATTTTAAGGGTAAGGAAACCTGTACTTTTCATTTTAAAGAAAGTCCTGAAGTATGTCCCGGAGTTACAAAGCTGCCCCCAGTTGTTCTGTAGCTGCAGTGATGCTTTTCTCACAGGGTCAGAGGTTACACCAAGCTATTCCAGAGATATAAGAGTATCCCAGCTGGATATAATACTAAGGGGGAAAGATGGATAGAAGGATAGGTAAATGCTGGGGATTAAAAATGACAGCAATGCTGAAACTCAAGCAGGTTATATGGTAACTGGGAAGCAGCTGTGTCCTCTTTGAGTCTTTCATGTTTGAGTGAATATAGGGCAACATTAAGATTGCTTACACCTTGGGCGTAGGAAACCCACATGGATCTATGATGTTCCAGATAACAGACCTGCTCTGAACTATACCTGCATATGGTCCACATGGAAGTCTGTTCATCCTTTGTCTCCCCCCCTGCTTTGTCCTTGCAGTGTTTTCTCCAACTCCAGCAATCACTGGGCAAGAATTTGGACCTAGGAGGTTTTTGCTGCTCGGCAACAGAGCAACAAACTGCGAAGTCTAATAAATTTCAGTTTAACTGATTGTAATTAGTTCATAGCTGAGCAGGTAATATATGAGTTGTTTTTTAATAAATAACTAAAGGCTTGAAAGGAGTCACGCTGCAATTTTAAAATTGTGAGTTTTTTGTAACTTTAGACTATGGGAGAATTATCCTGCCATAATGCAAGAGCACATAATTTCAATTTGAGAAAATAATTTCATCTTCTTGCACTCAAAACTTATAATGCTCACACTCAAAACATGCGCTCTCTCTCAAATATTTTCTCTTCTCTCTTAAATATTTGTTTCTTCTCTCAGATTCAATGCTTCTTGTACAG